CGTGATAAACAATACTGTGATTTGCTGAGGGCAACCATTATACAGTATTTCTAGCTGGAATACTCAACAAATAAAGCGCCTAGATTCAGGTTTATCAACATAAGATGATGAAATGTCAAGCGAAAACCCAGTCTTAACGGAAAACGGTGAGATCTGATAGAAAATAGCGAATATTTTGCATTACATAAGAAAAGTTGGATCACAGCGACACTATTGTGATTCTGTGGTTTTACTTTTTTCTATTCTCACAGGTTGGAAATTTTTTGAGGAGTAGAACCTTTTAAACATTTCATGTTGTGACTTAATTAAATGAGGTAAAGGACATTTGTCTAAAGAAATTTCAACTTTTGGACTTCAAAATCAACGAGTTTCATGTTGCGCAGAGATAAGATAAGGCGAAAGTTGGCAAATGGGCTACATTAATGCATAAAGACTTTGAACCTACTAAATATCGGTAAATGCGTTTCAACTTTGTCCGGGCCTAGTGAAATATAACTGAAGACCATTGGCTCACATTTAAGTCGATCGTGAAATGCTTTTACGCTAGTAATCCCACTTCACCCAGCCTATGTAATTATGTATTTATGATGACTACACAATGTCAATAGACCCGGAATCATGCATTCCGAAGGAGTATTTAGCAGATTCATAAATTGCTCAAAAAGGCACATCACGGCGCCACATCGACGAGCTATTTGATAAATCTGTACTAAGTCTAGTAAAAAGTCCAATAGACTCCTTTGTATTGCGATGTCGATGTGTTTTTTTGACAGGACCATATAAAAGTTGGTGAGGGAATAGCTTATTAGAGCTAGCCTTACACCTAACTTTTCCTAGTTCAGTGAGATGAAGGTTCGAATCTAGCTATCACCAACCACCGCTGCCTATGTATATGCCGAGTGGATACGTCCACCGTCATGTTGTCAGGATTGCACACTTTGCGTTGAGAGTTTCTTTTGAAATAGCGGTTCTGTACTTAAATTGCCGGTTAATTATCTTTTACACAAAATACCAGTGAACCATGGCATGACAAATTATGCATGTAAATAGTTCTTGTGAAATGTGACCGTTATGCCCCGATCACAAGACAAAAAACGTTGAATTTGAAAGGCAGCTATATGCTAATGGTGTAATTCTTCCGGGTCACAAGGTGAAGATGCATTAATATAGCCCATTTACTGACCTTTCATGTCATATACTTTATGCAAGATACTTAATGCTCAGCAATTAGGGACGTTAGTACATTTAATTAAATACATCATAGATGTTTCGCATATTTTCAGCCTATCATTCTGATTATAATTGACAAGACACGCAACACAACCATCGTTTAGAGTTGTAGATCTGCTGAATGTCTTGGGGAAGACAAATATCTATCGCATGAACAAGGCAACACGAAAAACTAAATTTGTTGATGCCTCTTTGGAAAGTGATTCAATGTTTAGGGAAATGCGCCTCATCTTTTCCAATTATGCAACACGAACCACGTCCTTACTCTGGGTTTGAAAACGTCGGCAAGTGTTCTGCTTCTGTAAATACCCAATCTACCGTGACGTTTCCTGAGTTTCCCAAAAATCCCCCCTTCCATTAGGTGAGTCTCGGTCGATAGGGGAATGGTATTTTTGTTAAAAGGCCTTTGCGTGGACAGAGAAATATGCCCCGTTTAAAACAGTTTCATTAGCTATCTCTTAATTGAGAAGAACTGTTTGCATTTTCCAATTCACTGCAATGAAACATTTTTTGCTTAAAGCATTTCCAATCACCGTCCAATGAAAAGGGGAATAGCAAGGTTGGAAATGGAGACCAGAGAGAAATGTAGGCGGCTGATATTAGGTTATTCAATTTATAGGAAAAACACATTATAAAGGTGGAAATCCCAAGCTT